TACAAAATCAAAATACAAAAATGGGTAAAGTGAAAAACAACTACTATCCCCCACGGAGGAATTAGTTCAAAATGATTAAATAAGAGTTAGTTTACACTAGCTCTTGTCTTCTCAGAATCTCCCCAAGAACGAAGCCCCGCTCGATCTGAGCTGCATCCTTTTATATCACTTCTGAGACTGCTCTAAACAATGTAAGAGTCACAAGTCATTCTCTCCTGACAGTTTAGGTCAAGGGGTCATTTACCAGATACACTTTTTTAGCTCTACATAAGACATTTAGTATCATTTTCAATACATGCAGTATTCACATGAGGGCACAAAAGTTACATTCTGCACTCCTGGAATGAGAGCACAGGTCATAAATCTTCATGTTGGTAGCAAATTGTAGATCTTCCTCCAGCATTCCTGAGAGCTTCTGGGTCCAGTTAGACCTTCCTCACTCCATGCCAGTCCTTCTTTTCCCGCCAGAGGTGGAGTTAGGGGCGGGCCCAGGGGTGTGTCCATGGGTGGATCCAGAGAGGACAGGCTGTCTTTTGACCCTTTGCCTAGTTCTGTCCTCACCAGCAAGTCCTGAACTATTGTCCTCTTGACCCTTGTGTGACCCTTGTCTCTGACCACTGTTTCTAAGCCTTGACCGATTGCTCGGACTTGCAACAATTCTAATCAAGCTAAAGTACCCAGATAAAGCGATTAGAAACATATTTCATCAGCATGTAGACAGCATAGACGAGCTGGTCCTGGCTGGGCAGTCCCCTATCAGAAGTGACGAGATCACAGAAGCTGTTTTCTGACAATATCATCACAAGGTAACCCATGTAATGATATCAAACTGTTCAGTACGTACCAAATAAGCTTTGCTGCAGCATTGTTGTCCATTCCGTTCCATTTTGCATGTCCTATTTTTGCCCTATCTGCTCCACTCCTTCCAACGTTCGTTTAATATTTGTGAGTTTCTGTAGGCTAATCGGAAGAATTCCAAACATGAAAGGGTTTAGGCACCAACCGTAGAGTGGAATGCACTTCATTTTTTTTATCTAATGCTAATGTCAAATATAATGAAGGTTCCCAGTTTTAACTTGATTTTTGCTGCTGATCAACTTAGATGCACATGTGAATGCACTGAGTATGAGGCCAATCAAAAACATCCTATCACAACCAAGCATTCTAAAACTATCAAAGCAAAAAATTTCATGAAAAAAAAAACAACACTGCTAAGGAGTAGTGATGGGAATTCCGGCTCTTTTTAGAGAGCCGGTTCTTTTGGCTCAGATCACCGAAAAGAGCCGGCTCTTTCGTCTCCCAAGTGTATCGCGTCAGACCCGTGTCACAACCCGTGCACGCGCATTGGGTCCACAGCGCGCGTGTGAACGGGACTCGCGAGCGAAAATATACATGGCAGCGCGCGCGTGAACGGGACTCGCGAGCGAAAATATACATGGCAGCGCGCGCGTGAACGGGACTCGCGAGCGAAAATATACATGGCAGCGCGCGCGTGAACGGGACTCGCGAGCGAAAATATACATGGCGAGAGGTCATTTGTGCACTGAGAGGGAGCAAACTGTGTCTGTGAGCGCACAAGGATGTGCACAAGTGACAAACCTGCGTGCGCGCGTTGCCAACGAGCACACGGCAGAGGAAAACGTGCGCGCGCGGCAGCCTCTCTGCGCGCTCGGCAGCCTCTGCGCGCTCGGTTCCTAATTCCGCTCGCTCGGCTGTGAGGAGTTTTGGCACTCTGGAGGCGTGGCCTGTGGCAGATCTTCCCTATCCTCTGATTGGTTAGTTTACCCCGCACTTTACTCTCTAGCTATCTATATGAAAAAATCTGATATTCAGCAGTTGCTGGCATAGCTCAGCTGGGAGAGCGGGTGACTCTCACTCTGGCGGATCCAGGTTCGAGTCCGGCTAAGTAACATAGAGTTGATGTCGTATTATTCTTTCCTAATTCCTGTGATATTATTTTACAGTTGTGACCGTTCAACTGTCATTAAATGTCCGAATGTTTGCTGGGCAGTGTTTTAAAAAGTGCACATAAGCTAGATGGTTTAAACCAGGTAAAAATAGACTTGTGGGTGTAGGTATGTTCAAGTTTAAAAAGTTCTTGCCTCATTAATGTATTGTTTATTTTTTTCAGCATTTAATTGACAAATTATCCTTTCAAATAATTAATTGATGAGTTACATAATTGTCCATTTAGAATTGTTGAATGGACTGAGTCAAGTTTGGTGCACTTTATATATTTCAAAACATGTTTTTTTTTATTATGCATATAAATAATTTTAATGTTAATTTATTGAAATATTTCTATTTTTTCATTACCTCACCCTTGTTTTGACAAAAACAAGACCTTGCTGGATAATATCACGGAGAAACTATTTGTTCACAGTACTTGGCTCAGTGAGGATCTGTATACCAAAGGAGGAGATGCTCAGAAATCTGTCTGCAGATTGTTACAACCCAGACTGGAAGTGGTGGGCTGTAATAAGAAAGGAGACCAAACAGAGGAGTGGGGGTTCAACAACTGATTTATTTAACCAAAGTAAGGATTTACTAAAGCAGATCAGTGCAGTCAAGAATTACTGGTGTTTGGGTAGTCCTGAACGTGTTGTGATGCCCCCACCGTCTCATTGGGTTTTCATTTGTGTTTAATTGTGTTTTTCTTCTGTTGTAGGCAGCTCGTTAAGCAGCCTTGGAGGCACCTGGGCTCAGGGTGTGGTGCTGCCTACAAAGCCTACTGTTTTTCTGCTTTCACTGGGTCTCTCCTGTGTGGTGGAGAGTCCTCACTGGCCATTTTCTGTTCACTAACTTGCTTTAGTAAATCCTTACTTTTGTTAAATAAATCAGTTGTTGAACCCCCACTCCTCTGTTTGGTCTCCTTTCTTATTACAGCCCACCACTTCCAGTCTGGGTTGTAACAATCTGCAGACAGATTTCTGAGCATCTCCTCCTTTACACAGATCCTCACTGAGCCATGTACTGTGAACAAATAGTTTCTCCATGATATTATCCAGCAAGGTTCCGTTTTTGTCAAAACAAGGGTGAGGTAATCAAAAAATAGAAATATTTCATTAAATTAACATTGAAATTATTTATATGCATCATAAAAAAAAAACATGTTTTGAAATATATAAAGTGCACCAAACTTTACTCAGTCCATTCAACAATTCTAAATGGACAATTATGTAACTCATCAATTAATTATTTGAAAGGATAATTTGTCAATTAAATACTGAAAAAAAATAAACAATACATTAATGAGGCAAGAACTTCTCTCTCTCTCTCTCTCTCTCTCTCTCTCTCTCTCTCTCTCTCTCTCTCTCTCTCTCTCTCTCTCTCTCTCTCTCTCTCTCTGGAAGCCCCACTCTAAGGGAGTTTGCAGTGTATTAGTGAGTCATATATTGTACAACCACAGTCATAAAGTTTTCAACCAGTAGTTTTATTTCAGTATGTATTTTTCCAGTATCACCAAAAATGTAATTTTATATGGTTAAAACCATCTAGCTTATGTGCACTTTTTAAAACACTGCCCAGCAAACATTCGGACGTTTAATGACAGTTGAACGGTCACAACTGTAAAATACCTGAAATTAAGAAAAATTAACATGACATCTACTGCATTTTCCTTGCCCGGACACGAACCTGGATCCTCCAGGCCGAGAGTCACCCGCTCTCCCAGCTGAGCTATGCCAGCAACTACTGAATATCCGACGTTTTTATATAGATAGAGGGTGAACTGCGGGGTAAACTAACCAATCAGAGGACAGAGAAGATCTGCCACAGGCCACGCCTCCAGAGTGCCAAAAGCCCTTACAGCCGAGCGAGCAGGAGTCAGAAACCGAGCGCGCACAGAGGCTGCCGAGCGCGCACAGAGGCTGCCGCGCGCGCACGTTCTCCTCTGCCGTGTGCTCGTTGACAACGCGCGCACGCAGGTTTGTCACTTGTGCACATCCTTGTGCGCTCACAGACACAGTTTGCTCCCTCTCAGTGCACAAATGACCTCTCGCCATGTATATTTCCGCTCGCGAGTCCCGTTCACACGCGCGCTGCCATGTATATTTTCGCTCGCGAGTCCCGTTCACACGCGCGCTGTGGACCCAATGCGCGTGCACGGGTTGTGGCACGCTTTAAACGCCATACAAGTGGCTCCTCAGATTTTCTGTTGCGTAAAGTACATTTATAACCAAAATAATGCTAAGCTATATGTAAAATGATTTACTAATGTAAAAAAATGCAGTGTATCAAATATTTAACATTTCTATGGATTTAGTAACTGAACACTTTAAGAAATCTCCACTTTCCGACTGCTGGCGCTCATTTTCTCACCGTCTTCGTTGCACTCTCCTCTCGCTCGCCTTTCTCCTCCTCCTCATTCCCTCTCGTCTCCCTCCACCCGCATGTGCTCTGCTGTGTGTCTGAGTCTGATCCTCCCTCTTCCCCGCCCCTACTGCTCTGTGTGTGGACAGTCTGGACACACAGTTACACATGTTGACCAATCGCCTGTAGCTTTCACCAAAGAAAGAGGGGAGGGGGAGGGGAGGGCTCCCAATGAAGAGCCGGCTCCCGTCGCTCACTTCAAAGAGCCAGCTCTTAGAGCCGGGTCGTTCGTGACCGACACATCACTACTAAGGAGTTTTCTATTTTTTTTTATAAGAACTGGTATTTTGACTTTTTGAACTCAGTGATCACACAACATAAAAATACATTTTGCACTTTTTGATATATATGTTTTTATTCAATTCAATTCAAGTTTAATTATATAGCGCCAAATCAGGAAGAGAGTCGTCTCAAGGCACTCTGCATAGTATGTTATCAATCTTGACATGTAAGGGTGTGGAAAACTATGGGGGGAAACTCAAACATGTAACTGATTATGTTGAAATTTGATTGTATAATTTATTCATAAGATACTTTTTTATTAAAGTGACAGTGTGTATTTTTCCTGATGATACGGGGCACTAGATACCTAAATCATTGCAAGCAAGCTGTATTTTTGTGTTGGAGTAAGACCTTACCAACATATGTCCACTAGGGTTAAAAAGCTCTGGGGAGTGCAAACTTACTATCACATCAGACTCTTTCATCGCTGGCAACGAGTGAAGAGGTAAATGTGTAAAACAACAACATCTATGAACAGTGACATTTTGTAACCATTTATTACATATCAGTAAATGCATTTTGTCCTCAAGGGCTTCCGTAGGAGGGACTATGGAGTCTAAAATGGAGTCGCCCAGAGACTTAGACCTGCTCCCATGTATTTTAGACATGATTTTTTATGGTTGTATGTTAGAAAACCACCAATATTTTTCAACAAATGGGCATCATTTCATACATTTTCAACAACATTTTGATTGTACTGGTAATCTCTGTAAATATCAAACTACACATTGTCACTTTAAAGCATAGATAAAAAAATTTTTAAAAACCTGATTGAAATACATTTTTTAATTATACGTCCAAAACAAAGCTTTTATGTGCCAAATAATTATTTAAGATGTTTTGTGATGTATCATCTATACGGATACAGCTGTATCCTGGTAATCTAGGCACTATGTTTTAAGTTGGTTGACAGGTAACTGTTACATTTTGTTCATGACATATTTCTTTGAGTTTCTCTGTGGCTGAAATAAGATGATGAAACACTTTGGAGCAAATATACACAGAATCAGTCCAAAACTGGAGGCCAGAATAGCAAATATCTCCACAGCTACAGTAAATTTTCCAGGAGAGCTGACATATGCTGGGATGAAGGTGAGCCACACTGCACAGAATATCAGCATGCTGAAGGTTATCAGCTTGGCTTCATTAAAATTATCAGGTAGTTTCCGAGCTAGAACAGCTAACACAAAGCAGAAAACAGCCAGCAGGCCAATGTACCCGAGCACAGCCCAGAACCCAACAGCAGAACCTAATGCACATTCCAGGATGATCTTCTCCTTGTATGTGCTCAGATTCTTCATTGGGAATGGAGGGCTGAGTAACAACCACACAGTACAGATTAATACTTGAACAAATGTAAAAAATACAACAGTCATTCTTTGCTGTGGAGGCCCAAACCATTTCATGACATTACTACCTGGAAGTGTAGCTTTAAAGGCCATTAAAACCACTACAGTTTTCCCAAGAACACAGGAGATACAGAGAACAAAGGTGATACCAAACGCTGTGTGTCGCAGCATGCAGGACCAATCAGAGGGAGCTCCGATGAAAGTTAATGAACATAAGAAACACAGAGTCAGAGAGAAGAGCAGCAGGAAGCTCAGCTCAGAGTTGTTGGCTCTGACAATTGGAGTTGTTCTGTGATGAAAGAAAATAGCTGCTGTTATGATGGCCAGACAGGCCCCACTAACAGAGAATGCAGCCAGGATGATTGCCAGGACTTCATCATAGGAAAGAAACTCCACAGGTTTGGGGAAACAAGCGTCTCTTTGTGCATTAGGCCACAATTCACTGGGACACGGGGAACAGTCTGGAGAATCTAAAAAAAGAAAAAAGTCAGAAAACCTTGAATACTGGTTACAGCCAAATTTCTCACAATGCAGGAACAAAACATGATCTCACCTGTCGTGTTACTAATCTCTCCTTCAGGACATGGTATACAATCATAGCAGCAGATGGGTTTTCCTTTCTGCAGGACTTTATGAGTTCCTGGAGGACAACTCTCAGAACACACTGATACTGGGACCTGATGGAAAGATGCAAGATAAATAAAATGATTTTATGGTTTAAATCCTGATGTCACACTTTGACACACCTTTCTCAAATCTTAGAAATGTCTTCTCACATGTGTGCCGCCATCCACCCATGAGATGTTTCTGTTGATATGAAACTCCTGTCCTTTAGGCAGTGATGCATCATAGTACCCTACTGTTACCAGCTCAATAGCTCCACTCTCACTCTTCTGCCAGTTGACCAGCTCATAAAAAGCTACAGGATCCCCGTTAGCATCAAAGGACACAGGATAACCGTTGTGGGTAAAGTTAACTTTTTTCAGTCTAGATTGCACCTAGACATGAACATAAAGGGAAGCAAAGGTTAACACACCAACCATTTTGTATTTTATTTAAAATTTCATATCCGACAAACAAGATTTTTTCTGACCAGGTAAAAGATTTTGAGGATAAACTGATTTTTTTAAAAGTTATGCATTTTTAGCTGATGGAATTTTTTGTACAGTTATCTTACAACCCATCACACAATTACAGTCTCTTCAAATTAAACTCACCTGTTTGGACTCCAATTTGATATTTTTGTCACACTTAATGGAGAAATTAGTTTCCTGACACACTGCATTGTGAATAGCATGAGCTATAGCATAAACAGCCTTGTACACCATGTTAGTGATTCTGAGCTGAGATGTATCAGTGTACGGGTTTTTGAGTGTCTTCATGTCTTCAGTTCCCTTGCACTTGTTTCTGTATGAATTGTTGCCTAAAAACAAGACACATTATTTCTAGTATCTTTATTTTGATCATTTCTATCAGATCGTGATTTTGAAATGAATAAAAATAAAACAAACAAAACAACAAAATAAAATGTTTTTTTTTTTACTTTTAACAAAAAAATAAGCAATCAACAAAATAAGTCAGCTCTTACTTTTGCCCAGGCTGCAGTTGAAAGCATCCTCCCAGAACTCAGTGAGCACAGAGGAGGCAACTACTTCAGTGAGAGAAATATCCACCAGGAAGTCTCTCAGACCTGGAATGACAGACTTTTGAATGGCAACACCAATGGCTCCTGCACAATATCTAAAGCTTAAAAAGTTTGGGTCAGTGATCCAGCCCTCACTTCCTATCCACTGACGAGGTGGTGGAGGGTCCAGAGCCAGCTCTTCTAACAGGATCCTCATATCACCTGATGCCGTAAAGGCCACAACAGCCATCGCTGTTGACCTGAAAAGAAATGCAAGTGTGCTGTGTGAACCAACTTATTCTGCACACATACTACACTTGATTTATCATGCAAATTTAAAACATATAAAAAACAATTTACATCCAAAATCAGAAATCCTAAAACAATCTTTGTTAAAAAAATAACATTTTATCTTTAGAAAAGCTACTTTGGTTTATAACTTCACTATTTGGATATTTTATTGTGTGATTTCACAGTATTAAAATATACAATATTAGATTTGTTACTGTAGAAACCTGCGGATGACGTCAGCTACTCTCTGGATTTTATTGCGTGGGTCGGTCCGAAAGAAAGATACAGAATATTCCACACAGATTCCCTCTCTCTGAGCTGCAGCAAGAAAAGACGCCATGCCATAATTTCCATAATCTGAATTTGAGTGGACAGCTCCTATCCAAGTCCAGCCAAAATGTTTCACCAGCTTGGCCAGTGCATCGGCCTGGAACTGGTCACTGGGAATTGTTCTAAAAAATGTTGGGTACTGCTGCTTGTCTGACAGACAGGCACATGTGGCAAAGTGGCTGACCTAAAGCAAAAAAAAAAAAAAAAGTATTTATTTTTATAATATAAAGAAACAATTAAAACAATTACAGCATGCATTTATTTACCAAAGGAATGTTGAAGGGCCCAAAAATGCGGGCAATTGTTATGGATGGTGTAGATGCAGAGTCTCCAACAGCAGCCATCACTATATTACTTTGGGAACAATTTCTGCCTTTGTAAAACACAAAGTCCTGACCATTCGATAATTGAAAGGCCAAGTGTGCAGCCACAGGCACAGAGGCGCATGAGTCATAGATCTGATACCCGAGGTTTATCCCCGGGAGCAGCTCTGTGCTGTTGTTTATCTCCTCAATTGCATAAATCATGGTGCGAGAAAAACGCAATTCTCTGGCAATGAGGCTGCACAGAATTAGAGATGTTACGGCAAATTTTAACATCAAATCAATGAAATTCATGACACAAAACCAACAACAAAATATAAGGTGAAAATGGACTTAAAGCTAAAGATTTTAACAAAAAAAAATCTCATTTGGACAACAGGGTACTTAATGTGCGACACAAAGGAACAAAGTAAAAGTATCCCAACGGTGTATCGTTAAAAGAAAGAACTAAATACCGAACATGAATCCAAAATTTAAAAAATCAGGATTTGCATTTAAAACCAAATATGGCTAAGCAACAATTTGAACTTGTTGAAATTTTGTGTTGAAAAATAAGTATTTTCATCTTTCCAGAGAAATTAAAAACACATTCATATACATTTATCATACTTTTGTTTCTTACCAACCTTTCTGTGCACCTTGGAGGCTCGGGCTTTGTGGTGTAGTTGTTAATCACTGTGATCAGTTTGTAATGAATGGAAAAAACACCTCCTATAGCAAAGTCGCCATCCTTTGAAAATGCAGATAAACGAGGGGAACCCTGCAGATCACATTTCATCAGTGAAGCCTCAGCATGGGTTAGCCCATCTGTTGTCTTAACCATTTGTCTCACATCAGGAGCACCCCCAAAAACACCAACTAACATCATCAGCAACAAATTAACAACTAATCTCAGACCAATGAGGACTGATCCGTTCTCCATTCCTCAACTGTCTGTGTCTGAGGCTAGGTGTGTCTCCACTGGGTTGAGTACCTCCCCCTTTTAAATGTTAGGATTCTCTCATTCTCTCATTGTCAATACTGCTTAATCCTCAGTGGGGTTGTGTGGAGTTGGAGCTCATTTCCAGGAAAACATCAAGAGAGAGGAAGAAGACACCTCGCAGGTGGCCTGTACATCACATGGCCACATTAGACAAATGGGACAGGCAATAATTCACACTCTCACCTAGGGGAAATTCTGTCACCAATCGGCCTAACATGCATGTTTTTGGGCTGTAGGTGGAAGTGTTGTGCAGAATCCTTAGTCGAAAGTTACATAGGCTAATTAAACTATGGAAAGAAATATAAAAAACACTGCATGTGCACAGCTGCTCTCTGCCTAATGCATCAAATCATGCCTGCCTACGTTGAAATCTGCAGAGATGATTTTAGATCAAATTCCACATTCAACACAACCACATTGTCCTATAAATAGTCAATACAAAATGCATCATGAACATTATGGATTAATATTAGTCAACTGATCTGTGCCTTTCACATAAAATCATGGGACGTGTATGAGCCTTAAAGTAAATAAAGAGAGGTTTGATTGTATTTGTTAATGTTTGAAATGTTGTTTGTTTACTTTGATGTGATCTCGGTATGTGGGTCAATCAAGTGAGAGCGGGAATCCTTAAAAGCCCTCATCAGTTCCACCTGGGAGGAAGCGACTGTCAGTGAGAAGGGGCACCGCACTATTTGAAATAAGTGCCCCCAAACTGGGGGCACTTATAATAACTCATAACTCAAAATAACTCATGCCAGGGGTCACACCCTGGACCTGGTTATCTCTTATGGTCTACCCGTCACGAACCTTGTGACTTTGCCTCCTGTGTTCTCTGACCACTCTCCTATACTCTGTGATGTTACGTTGCCATGTCCTGTCCCTGTGTGCGAAGCTCCCGCTACTAGGTTCAGAGCCCTGGATGCAGAAACTATTTCAAAGTTTGTGGACTGTATGTCTGTAAGGTTAGAGACCTTTAACCCAGATCCATCTAACGTTGATCACTATTCACAACACTTTGATTTACTTTGTAATCAGGTCCTGGATGTGGTTGCCCCTCTCAAACTGTGCAAGTCTCGGCCTAGGAGGGAGCTTTGGCTCTCTGATGTCACACGGGCTTGCAGGCGGGCGTGTAGATCCTCGGAGAGAAAGTGGAAAAAGGATGGCCTACAGGTCTCGCGTGAGTTGTTCAGAGCATCTCTGGTTGCTTATCAGGATGCAGTGAAGGCTGCCAGAATGGCCTATTTTGCAGACATCATTGAGACAAACTCCAATAATCCTAAGATTCTCTTCAAAACGCTAAACTCAGTTCTGGTGTATCAGGAGCCTAGCTCCATGTCTCCTACAGCTGCTGGAAACTCTGAAGCTTTTCACAAATTCTTTGTTGATAAAGTGTCGGGCATTAGAGCAGCTATTTCTGGTAACTCTGTTGACCCTGTTCCAGTTCCTCCATCACCACCCACCCTGAGCTCCCTCAATACAGTTTCATACTCTGAGCTGAGTAAGCTTGTTGCGAGGCAGAAGCCATCTGGCTCTCCACTTGATGTTCTGCCGCCTCGTCTCTGGAAGGCTGCCTTTCCGTGCCTTGGCCCTTCACTTGGTCAGATTATCAATGGGAGCCTCAGCACAGGTGTGGTCCCAGCAGCTTTGAAAGCAGCAGTTATTCGGCCGACCCTGAAGAAACCTGGTGCTGATGTCTCTGTGATCAAAAATTACAGGCCTATCTCTACCCTGCCCTTTACATCAAAACTGCTTGAGAAAGTCGTTTATCAGCAGCTGGTCTCACATTTAGCTGACTCTGATCTGTTTGAGGTTTTCCAATCAGGGTTCAGGTCTGGCCATAGCACAGAGTCTGCTCTACTGAGGGTCCTAAATGACATCTATCTATCACTAGATCACGGAACATCTGTGCTGCTTCTGTTGTTAGACCTAACAGCAGCCTTCGACACAGTTGACCACGCGATTCTACTCGATCGCTTGGAACGATGGGTTGGGATCAAAGGGTCAGCTCTGGATTGGTTTAGATCGTATCTCCAAAACAGGACATTCTGTGTTAAACTGGGTGATGTTTTTTCTTCTTGGGAGGGGCTCCGCTTGGGGGTCCCGCAGGGGTCGATCCTTGGTCCTCTTTTGTTTGCCATTTATCTGCTACCTCTGGGGTCAATATTTCGTAAACATGGCCTATCATTCCATCTGTATGCTGACGATTGCCAGATTTACTCTCCATTGTGTCAGGAGAAAGGTCACTCTATTCAGTCCTTTGTCTCCTGTGTTAATGAGGTGAAGTCTTGGCTAATGTCCAACTATCTACATCTGAATGAGGGAAAGACAGAGCTCATTGTTTTTCTCCCCAACAGCAGGAATGTGGATCGTTATGCTGATCTTGGCCCTCTTTCTCCATACTCAAAACCAGTTGTTACCAGTTTGGGGGTGAAACTTGATGTAGGACTTAAATTTGACGCTCACATCAATTCTGTGGTCCGGTCCAGTTTTTTTCACCTGAGACGCCTTGCTAAAATCAAGCCTATGCTGTCGAGAGCCCACCTGGAGCGGGTACTGCATGCCTTTGTTATTTCTCGGCTTGACTACTGCAACTCTCTATATGCAGGGTTGTGTCAGTCAACACTGCATCGCCTACAGGTTGTGCAGAACAGCGCTGCCAGGTTCCTGACTGGGACCAGGAAACGGGACCACATCAGTCCGGTTCTGGCCTCTTTGCACTGGCTTCCGATTTGCTATCGCTCACAATTCAAAATCCTCGTCTTTGTTTATCATTTCTTCCAGGGTGGTGCTCCCCCCTATCTAGCCACACTCCTGAACAGACACTCCCCATCACGCGCTCTGTGCTCCTCTGACCAAGGCCTGCTCGCTGTCCCTCGGTCTAGGTGTCGTACCTGTGGGGACCGGGCTTTCTCAGTCCTAGCACCGTCACTCTGGAACCAGTTGCCACCCTCAGTTAGGCTGTCCCCTTCTCTGCCAGTCTTTAAGAATCACCTAAAAACACACCTCCTCCGCTTGGCGTTTCCAGAACATGTTTGATTTTGGCTCTCTGTTATGTTGAATCCATTCCACAGTTTTCATTGGTACACTCAATCCATCCACTCAATCCAAATGTGTTTCACACATTTGTCCTTTACCAGAATGTTTCATCTATCTTGTAATTTCCATTTTGTATTTTGTAATTTGTATTTTGTAATTTGAATTTCTTTTATTGTTGATTTATTCAATATATTTACATACAACTGTACAATGTTCAGCGCTTTGGGCTTCCTGACAGGGTTGCGGAAGGCGCTTTATAAATAAAGCTTTGATTGATTGATTGATTGATTTGTTGACCGCATAACAGATCGCTGAGAGTGAAGTGATCCAGGATGCTTCTGTTGACAATGGGAACTATACAAGATGGAAGTTTAAGTATTAAAAGGAATTTACCAAGAATCAAAAGCATCTCAGTCGGTTATTGTTCAGCGCGTCACCATTGGACCCTATCTCAAACAAAGCGGCGTCTGGGTTACGTTTCCGGGAGCCACTGGAAAAGGATGAGATAGGTTCAAAAACGTAATTTTACTGAAACTGAAATGAAAGTATTTATGTGTGAGGTAGAGTCACCACTGATGGGCTCATAACCTGGGTGGAAATTCCAGGCACTGTCCATAGTTGGTTCCAATCATCTTGACGACAGGGCTTATGTTGTCTCATTCGGTGATCACAAATCACAGCTGATCTCCATGATATGTGGGGTCCCTCAAGGCTCAAATCATGGACCACTGCTCTTCAATCTCCACATGCTCCCAGAGGTCTCAAGTCCAGACCAAATCTAGAGAAGTTCAATCGTGCGTTCATTTCCAGCAGTCTAGACTATTGCAATGGTCTTTTGACTGGTCTCCTCAAAAAACCTGTGAAGCAACTGCAGCTTATCAAGAATGCTGCTGCTAGAGTCTTAACAAGAACCAAGAGAATGTCATGTTCCTGAGCCGAGGTGCGTGACAACATCTTCCATCTCACCACTATCAGGCTGATTTTCCACAGGTGAGGAGCGGAGGGGTTTGCAGCTGCAGAAGATTCCCAATCAGGAGCTCGGGTATAAAAGGAGGATGGAGACACTTCACTACGCCAGATGATTGCACCAGTATAGGTAGCCCCAGCCACTCGCTCTCGTTCTTGAAACTCGTATTTTGACATTCGCTTCCTGGATATTATTGGATTTTGAACTCGGACTGCATTTGGATTACCCTCTCATCTGGTGTTTGTTTGCCTTCCCGCAGGATCTCCACACACCCTGGCTCACCCTCGCTGTTGAACTCTGGATTACATTCACCACGTCCCATCCTCCTCCATTGTTCCTGTTTGGACCCTCTCCGAGGCCTCACCAATCCTGGATCAACCCTGGACTAATCAGAGCTCACCTCGGCTCTCTCGCCTCTTTCCCCCCTCGTTCTCCCTGAACTCTGAATGAACTCGAGCGAGCGATCTACCCCACAGGACTTCCCTGTGCTCTTTTTGTTCCCCTTATATAAAGACTTTTACTTTAACCAGTTCCACGAGTCAGTTTCTGCATGTCTTAGGTTAAACACATACCTCGAGCCATGACAGAGGACTGAGCACATCACTTCTGTTCTTAAATATCTACTCTGACTTCCTGTAAACTACAGAAATTATTTAAAGTACTTCTACTAGTTTATAAATCACTCAGTGGCATGGGGCCAAAATACATGTTGGTTCTCCTTCCTGCATATACACCCAGCAAGGCTCTGAGATCCTTAGGAAGCAGTCAGCTGGTAGAACTTCGGGTCAGAACCAAACAGGGTGAAGCTGCTTTTAGCTACTATGATGCTCACAGATGGAATCAGCTTCATTATGACATCATATGTGCCCCAACTTTGGTAACTTTTGAATCAAAATTGAAAATCTTCATGTCTTCATTAGCATTTGAATCACTGTTTCTTATGTTGCACCTTCTGCACTGTAACTGCTCACTCTTTAACTTTGTCCTTTTCTTTAATTTTTTTAATTATAATCAAAATGTATTTTGTGTGTTCTTTTTATCGTTTTGACTTTTAACTAATTTACTGCCATTGACAGCAAAAGTCGCCATTTTAAATCCAACCGCTCACCTCTTCATCTGTGTATGTCACACATCATGTGCTCAAGAAACAAAAAATCCACTTGTTAGGAGATTGTTTTGAACCGCTGCTGTGAAAAAAAGTGAGGCGCGAACCAGAAAAGCTTCTCCCACTCACAATTTCACAACGGAATATGAAAGAACGAATGAAGCTAGAAACACGCATATTCTTCCTTATGTAAGAAATGAGATTACTATTTGTTTTGGTAGTTTTGGCGTCAACATCATCATAGAGGAGAATATTCTGTGACTCTTCAAAAAAATGTGAAAATACTCAAAAACGTATTGCTATTCTTGCACCCAACGCGTCGAAAACAAACGCTTGGTCACCCATCGTCAGTTTTAGTCAGTTCAGGTGTGAGAATGTATGGCACAGGTGGAGCGTTATAGATTCAGCTATGTTGTCCTGCCTGATAAACAAACCTGATTAGAAATTATTTTGGTTGTTTTTAATCCCAATGGGCACTGAAGACAGAAATGAAAGAGATAGGGGGTAGAGGAAAGGGAAAAGTGTGTGTGTGTGTGTGTGTGTGTGTGTGTGTGTGTGTGTGTGTGTGTGTGTGTGTGTGTGTGTGTGTGTGTGTGTGTGTGTGTGTGTGTGTGTGTGTGTGTGTGTCACAAAAATAACGCAAAAGGATGTACAAGATGTACAAGAATTGGCTTCTAGACCTGCAGAACAAGAGAGAGAGAAAACAGAACCAAGATATCACTGCACCCAACAACATAACAATTTGATCCGTTGCAGCATGACATCACGTGCCCACACTCCCGCCCCCCAGCTCCAGGCTAGAGGGCAAGAAGATGGCACCTCCCTGTTGACAGAGTTGTGTTTATCTGTTGGCTGTCAATAAAGAGAGGCAAATAGCAGCAAAATAAAATGATAAAATATGCTGAAGGCAGTGGTTAACGGCTCATTCTAGTGGAAAAACTACCCACATTGTGGCAGACAAAGTCTTGTGACAGAATAAAAAAGTTTAATATCTGCCCTACATGTCCAGAAACAAAAAAGTAATAGCCATCTAATGACTTATATGCTTTTATTATATAATTGTGCGCGACCACGAGGATGAGTACCCAGCCAGAGGAGACCCAACTGACCGAGCGGATCCAGAGAGCGAGGGCGGAGCAGTGCTGCTGATCAGTCCTGAAGAATAAATATGTTTGAAAATGAAATCGCCAGTGTGGTGTGTAGTTCTGAGTTTGAACCACGGTAACGATCTAGTTACAATAATTATACAAAATGCGTTGTACAATTGGAGTGGGCAGCCACTAATGTCATTTGTGTTTCTGATTAGTCTATGGAGTGTAACAAACCTGACGCGTCCCAGAAGTGGCACGCCACGCCGCACCGTGCTGCGCTGCTAAAGATAGGATCGGGTTCCATTTTTTCTGAGTTGCTTCTGGAAAACATCAATTACCGCAGTTAACATAGGGCTAGACAGGAAATCACACACAGTTTCAGTATAAAATTACCAGTAATTTTCAAAGTCAAAGTATTGCTGCGATGTGATTTCATATACGTATATCAAGCTTACGTGTGACCTAACGGCTTATTTCCTCACAGCATTGTTCCAGAAGTACAGCGGTGTGTTTTCATGGCTTTCATTCTGGCAGTGGAGAGGAAAAACAGCATATATGACATCAAAAGTGATTTCATTCTTTTTGGTTTAATGGCAGATTGCATAAACAAACCGCAACCTTTGAAATCTCCAAGGATAGTGTAATCTCGCAAGCAGGAGCGGCGTTAGGCCCGGCTACTTGGGCTCAAGCCCCGAATGTTTTATGAAAAGACTAGTGCGTGTTACGTGTGTGTGTGAGCGCGCGTGTGTGTTAAGCCCCGGATCTTCTTCAGTCCTAAATCCGCCCCTGCTCGCAAGGAAGTTTGTGGAAGTCTCGAGGGATTTTGTGATCTCGCGTGTTGAGCGAGGCGCAGGGAAGAGAAGCTGCTTCATTGCCCTGCGCCTGCCCTTCGCAGAGCCGTGCCTGTAAAGTACCGTCGAGAAGGTAACTTGCACCGTGCTCCAGGAGACGGAAAAATCCTACGTTTGAAACCACAGACAGCGGCTGGTCATCTAGTGCTTTAATTTCAGCTATCTTGGCTGATCTTTTTGGACTTTATGCTATCCTTAGGAAGTTTTTCTTTGTTTTTCAGCATAGCTACCAGTGTCTGCTGGCTCCATGTTTTGATCTGAGTTGTTGGTGAACTTTGAATATTGAGCTGGATGTTTGTTCTTAAGATGGCGGATCAGGTTCGTGGTGTTAAAAGCAACTCTGTCTTTTCCACCATGTGAAACATTCAGTTTGCACACGTTGCAAGTGGCTGTTGGACAGCTTTCGTTCTCCGGTTTAAAAAGATTCCAAACCGCTGAAGTTCTTGCTCTCCTGGAATAAGACTAGCATTAACCTGCTAGCTAACTGCTACCTGATTTCCCCGGTCCACTTAAAAATGTGTGATGTTACGTCTGCCGGATGGTATTGTTGTCATGTTGTTAGTGAGGAAGTGGAACTTGGGACAAAATTAAACCATTGTTATTCAATTTCAAACAAAAGACTCATTAAAAAAGTCATGTTTGTTGTTTCATAAGGTCAAAGCCGATCTTTAACACCCAATTCAGATCAGATTTCCGATCACGTGATCAGATCGTGAGCATCCCTGGTATGTGTTATTCTTAAACTTTCCAAAAGGTCTCACTTCACAAGCAAAAGTGTAAATGTTAAATTTTTGATCATGAAAAAGAGAGTTCCGATATTGATATATTTTACTTTATCAATAATGTTGTTTTCATGAACTTCCCAGCAGTCTTATGTTAAACTTTTGGACCCAAAAATCCAAAGATTGTTGAAAATGGCAATCCTTCCCTGCAAGCAATGAAGAAAACTCATTTTATCGTGTTGGTAACACTTTCCAATAAGGTATGCAAAATTGTGCACTTATTTATTGTTAAGGGTACATGTTTGTTGCCACCATGTCACGGTTGTCCTTGCAAATTGATTACAAACTTCTGAGAATCTACATGAGATTTTTGTTCATTAAAAACTTCTTAGAGTTCTTCTCAGGCTGAAATAAGATGATAAAACACTTTGGAGCAAATATACACAGAATCAGCCCAAAACTGGAGGCCAGAATAGCAAATATCTCCACAGCTACAGTCAATTTCCCAGGAGAGCTGACATATGCTGGGATGAAGGTGAGCCACACTGCACAGAATATCAGCATGCTGAAGGTTATCAGCTTGGCTTCATTAAAATTATCAGGTAGTTTCCGAGCTAGAACAGCTAACACAAAGCAGAAAACAGCCAGCAGGCCAATGTACCCGAGCACAGCCCAGAACCCAACAGCAGAACCTAATGCACATTCCAGGATGATCTTCTCCTTGTATGTGCTCAGATTCTTCATTGGGAATGGAGGGCTGAGTAACAGCCACACAGTACAGATTAATACTTGAACAAATGTAAAAAACACAACAGTCATTCTTTGCTGTGGAGGCCCAAACCATTTCATGACATTACTACCTGGAAGTGTAGCTTTAAAGGCCATTAAAACCACTACAGTTTTGCCAAGAACACAGGAGATACAGAGAACAAAGATGATACCAAACGCTGTGTGTCGCAGCATGCAGGACCAATCAGAGGGAGCTCCGATGAAAGTTAATGAACATAAGAAACACAGAGTCAGAGAGAAGAGCAGCAGGAAGCTCAGCTCAGAGTTGTTGGCTCTGACAATTGGAGTTGTTCTGTGATGAAAGAAAATAGCTGCTGTTATGATGGCCAGACAGGCCCCACTAACAGAGAATGCAGCCAGGATGATTGCCAGGACTTCATCATAGGAAAGAAACTCCACAGGTTTGGGGAAACAAGCGTCTCTTTGTGCATTAGGCCAGAATTCACTGGGACACGGGGAACAGTCTGGAGAATCTGAAAAAAGAAAAAAGTCAGAAAACCTTGAATACTGTTTGCAGCCAAATTTCTCACAATGCAGGAACAAAACATGATCTCACCTGTCGTGTTACTAATCTCTCCTTCAGGACATGGTATACAATCATAGCAGCAGATGGGTTTTCCTTTCTGTAACACTTTACGAGTTCCTGGAGGACAACTCTCAGAGCACACTGATACTGGGACCTGTTACAAAGATCAAGGTGTCAATGGCAATATAGAAGTTATTCCAAGGCATTTGAGACTACTTCTTAAAACTCCTAACTGTCTTTTAGTTGAATTAATTACTTGTGTGCCACCATCCACCCAGGTTATGTTCCTTTTAATGTAAAACTCCTGGCCTTTAGGCAGTGATGCATCATAGTACCCTACTGTTACCAGCTCAATAACTCCACTCTCACTCTTCTGCCAGTTGACCAGCTCATAAAAAGCTACAGGATCTCCATTAGCATCAAATGATACAGGATAACCATTTCTGGAAAAATTAACTTTCTGTAGTTCCATTAAAACCTGTCAAGTATGAAAGAAATATAGTTAGAAAGGTAACAATTCATAATACAATTTTATTCTGTCTAAATATTAACCTATAAAACTTTTACATCAGTTTTTAATTTCAACTCACCTGTTTGGACTCCAATCTATTTTGTTTGTCACACTGTGTGGTAAAATTAGTATCCAGGCACACTGCATTGTGAATAGCATGAGCTATTGCATAAACAGCCTTGTACACCATGTTAGTGGCTCTTAACTGAGATGTATCAGTGTACGGGTTTTTAAGTGTTTCAATATCCTCCTTTCCATCACACTTTCTCCTGTTCTGATTTGCCCCTAAAACACAAATAAGAAGCACAAATTCTCTATGTAGAGTTTAATTTATTAAACAAAGCTTAAGTTTGGGCAGCACAGTAGTAATGCAGTTAGTTTGTTGCCGCACAGTGAGCCTTTCTGCAAAGACTGCTTCTTTGCCTCGTGCAAACGTGCATGGCTGACTATACTGTCATAATTGTCCTTAGGTGTGATTGAGTGTGTGACTGCCTTTTGGGGCACCGACTTGTCCTGATGATGGACTAGGGACCTGTTAAGCACGTCCCCTGCCTCTGGCCCAATAACTGCTAATGAGGATGAAGTGGCTAAAAATGAATGTAATAATAAACCAATCAATGAATAAACCAATCAATCAATCAATCAATCAATGACAAGCTATTGGCTTTAGACTGTATTAGCCCACAAAGAACTCAAACAAAAAAAAATTATATGAGTTAACATGTTGGTATTGTGTCCTACAAATAAAGGGTGACATGTGCACCTGTTGGTTTTTGCTTCAATTTAAGTAAACATAGGTGTTTCATTGCACAAAGTTAAAATAGTCAAAATACAGAGCTTTAATTATTTATATATTTCTAATAAAAATCACAAAAACTTTCCCACTTTTAGCAAGCGTGCAATTGAAAGAATCCTCCCAGAACTCAGTAAGCACCGAGGAGGCAGCTACTTCAGTGGGAGAGAGATCCAGCAGGAATTCTTTAAGACTCGGGATGACAGACTGCTGGATTGCACATCCAATCGCTCCTGCACAGAAACTATAGCTCATCAAGTTAGGGTCGTTAATCCAGCCTTCACTTCCTATCCACTGACGAGGTGGTGAAGGCTTCCTAACCAACTCTTCTAATAAAACGGTCATGTCTCCAGTGGCTGTGAATGCCACAACAACCATCGCTGTTGACCTGCAAAGATAATAAAATGCATTTACCTTCTCTGGCCTATACATTAAAAACACGTGCATATTGTGTTATGACAGCATGCATATAGACTCGTTACCACCTGGTAGCTTTGATTTCATTTCCATGTTTTAAGAACACAGTAAAAACAATTTGCAAGAATAACTTTCACAAGAAATCTAACTGAGTTATATTCATTTTTTACTTTGTTGTTTGTTTTAAGTTTCTTGAATGCAAAGTTCATTTAGGATCATTTTAAGCACCCTTTATGATACACAAGTAAAATATTCACACAGAAACCTGCGAATGACATCAGCTACTCTCTGGATCTTGCTGCGTGGGTTTGTCCATAAGAAAGATTCAGAGTACTCCACACAGATTCCCTCTCTCTGTGCTGCGTCAAGAAAAGACGCCATGCCGTTATTTCCATAATCAGAGTCTGAGCGGACAGCTCCTATCCAAGTCCAGCCAAAGTGTTTCACCAGCTTGGCCAGTGCATCAGCCTGGAACTGGTCACTGGGAATTGTTCTGAAAAACGTTGGGAACTGCTGCTTATCTGACAGGCAGGCACATGTGGCAAAGTGACTGATCTAAAGCAATAAAAACAGCAGTTTTGCATAATTAACATTAAGTGGATACATTTTGGTATTAATATTTATTTTCTTAACTTTTTTCAAGTTTATGGTGAGACCAGACTTCTTACCTGAGGGATGTTGAAAGGCCCAATGATCCGTGACATGCTGATTGATGGGGTGGATCCAGAGGCTCCAATAACAGCCATCATCAGACCAGATTGGGAACAATTTTTGCGTTTGTAAAAGACACTGTCCTGACCGTTGGTCAGCTGTAGCATCACTTGCATAGCCACGGGAACCGAGGCACATGTGTCATAAATCTGATATCCCAGTTTGATGCCCGGTAGCAGCTCTGTGCTGTTGTTGATCTCCTCGATGGCAAAGATCATTGTGCGAGAAAACTGTAGTTCCTGGGCAATAAAGCTGCATAGAATAAGTTAGAGAGTGAAGGTATTTACATGGAAATGGGTGGAGGAAAAAAACATTAAAAATTTTACACAAAACAAAAGAAATTAGTCCAAAATCTATACAATAGACAGAGATGTGTTTCTTGTATTACAAAATATTAAATCTAAATGTCATTTAACTAAAATATATTTTCATGTTTTACACTTAAAAGAACCTAGGAATTTCATTGTGCACATGGATGTTTAAAAAAGCTTTTAACAGCTATGATACCTTTTAAAATAACTATATTGTCAGTGAATATTCACCTGAAATATATAATTTAGTTTTCTGTAGTATACACTTTTAAATGCATTTTCAATTATTCTGCTAACTATCTTAAATTATTTGTAAAAATCCTTTAAATCTTCTTCCTGTTTGATTCAACATTGCCACAAACAAGCAAACCACATGATTCCCATTGTTAATTCTGACATTTGTTTCCATGGTTTCTTCATCTTACTTACCTTCCTGTACACCGTAAAGGTTCAGGCTTGATGGTGTAGTTATTAAACAGTGTGTAAAATTTATAATGTAAAGAGAAAACACCTCCGATAACAAAGTCCCCATCCATAGAGAATGCAGGTAAATGAGGGTTGCCCTGTAGGGTACATTTCACTTCAGTAGTACCTCCAGCACCAGTCAGATTCTCTATAGATTTGATTCTTTGTTTCAGTTCATCCACAGACCCGCTCAAGACAATAAACGCTGTCAGCATCAACACATTCACAGCTATCGTCTGGCCAATAAGGACGGTTCGGATTTCCATCCTTTAGTTGCCCACATTTGCATGTAAGTGTTTTTTTAGTAGTTTATGTACTTTCTGTTTTGTCAGGTGATTACTCATCAGAAACAACACGCCCACACCTATGGTGACTGATTACATTATCAAATGTAATGTATGTTTCTTTTTTAAGCTTTTAAAGTCACTTGTTTAAGTTTGGCAGTGCACAGTGTTGGCTCCTATTTTATTTGTCTTATTTAGACCCAATAATTTTATTGAAAACATTGCCAACTTTGGACTTTTACCCAACAAAATAATTCTCATATGTTTTTTGCACTGTGTGAACAACCCTAAAAATTAAGACACTTCGGTTCAGTTTACTCAAAAAAAGTAATTAATATATAAACAACTTGAGAGATGTGGTTCCAGCCTTTATAAAAGAGTTTATTGTGTAAAACATTTTAAAGACAATCAGTCGAGGCTTGCCAGTTATAGGAGGACCACTAAAGCTGCATTTACACTCGAGTCAGCTCGGTCCAGCCCTGCTATAAGGTAATTGTGTTTACATGGGAGTTATGTGTGTGTGGTTCGTGCAGTCAGCAGTTTATTTTTCGACTGCTGCACAGTAAGAAAGTAGGAAGCTGTGTGCTTTCTGTCAGGGTTTCCAAAAGCACACTCCCACTTTTGTTTACTTGTGGCAGATAGGAGGGAGACCACGGCCTTCTACCCTGCCCATTTGCTCAGAAAAGTCTGGATTCCTGAGAAGGTTGTGTAAAGAAAAATAAAAGGACTATATAATTAAGATAATTATAGCAAATAAAAAGTCAAAGCTTTTCCAGATGGTCCTCCTCTGCACAACCAACTCAGCCTTCTCACACTACTAGCTGGCTTTCTTTCAACCCCATGGACAGCTCAACTACCATCCGTTAGCTCTGTCGGTCCACTGACCAACAGCCATATGGGTTAATAATGGGATGGAACCGATGGGCAGGACAGGAGATTGCTTGGGGCCACCAGGGCCCCCCAGAGGGCTAAACAACTTTCAACTAAATCAGAACAGCAGCAGTAGTGACCTGTAATTTGGCAACACTGTTGACCATGAGGCTTGGTTTATGCTTGACGCATTTACTTTCCGCTTGGTGATGCGGCTCGCAGATGGAACGCGCTTCACAACTTGCAGCGTTTATGGTTCATGCGGCTTGTCTCTGCGGTGAGCCAATGTTCTCCAAAACTGAACGAGGCAGCATGGAGCTCTACGGCATGCATCCGACACTACACCATAGTAGAAGTAGAAATTACTGTTGTTTACAACATGGCATTCCAGCATTTTTTAACAGCATCCTCGTCTTTTCCGACAATGCGAGCTATTTCTCTCCAAGAATTATTAACAACATGTTGATCATGGTGATCTTTGAGAGCTGAATCATACAAATGTCTGTATTTACGAACCTCTGCCATACTAGTTCTTGCCGGTCCACCAAGTTTTTCCGCGTCCGACCATCCGCTTGGTTAGAAAATTTCCTAGGTGCGCGGTGCGGAAAGTTTGGGCCATACAAAGGTGCGGTGGAGGGGCGTGGTTGTTAAAATGACGCAATTTTGCCGCGCGGAGCCGTGCGAACCTCGCTTAACACTCCCTGATGTAGCCCTCCCCCTCCCTCCTGACTGCTCATTCAGAGACGGCCGCACAATTCCACGTCTCCTGACACCCCTCACCCCCCACTGTGATGGAGAAATGCCCGCATGCTGTTTTGTCTGTGCTTGTAGCAGGTTTGTTTGCTTGGGTCCATGTGACAACCTTGCAGTGCCACTAGGAAAGAGTCCAAAGGTTTTCAACAATGACAAGCCCAAGATTAGGTTAAAGGTCACCCAAAATCCAGGAAGCCAGACCACCACCAAACAAAGCCCAAAACGCCAGATAGGCAGCGTTTGAGCCCCTCCAGATCTTAAGCCGGGCGGACACTGCACGACTTTTTCACTCGTAGCACTCAGCTTCAGCTCAAACTGTACAACTTCCTCGCAGGGCAGATCTCACGAGTCATGTGCTCACACTGTACGACCCAGTAATCTGATGCGACCTGACTGCTCACACTGTACGTCTGGTAGCAACACGTCGGACCTAAAAATACATGCTGAAAATAGCAGTTTTTACACAACACGTCAGACTTTTTTGTCTTGTTTTGCCTGTTGTCCTTCGGGAGTGCTGCAGGGGGACACACAGGGATTTATGGGGATTGGATGAGGAAAACAAAATAAAGAAAGTAAATCTGTGTTTTGTGATCAGTTTAATTTGATATGAACACGACAAACACGCTTTCTTGACAATCACTGTCAGTAAAAAAAAACATGTAGAAATAAAAACAACGTGTGTTATTAGGGAAATAGCGGGCGAACTGTGTTGATGCATGATTGTGCATGCGCCGTGAGCGGTTCTGGTACTTATTGGGTTGCAGCCGCTCACTGCGCCGCTTCAACCCTCACGAGGAATGAGCAAAATATCAAACACTCCAGAAATCTGTGTGAGCTCACGATTGCTGATCAGTAGTTGGTCACGTGGTGTTAATCGCCTCTCGTAACCCCCTGTATACTACACGACGCTCAGCGCAAAACTCGCCCTGATCTTGTGGATTCTCGCACGAGTGGAAAATCGGCTCAAAAAAGTGAAAAAGTCGCACAGTGTTCGCCCGGCTTTAGTCATTCATTGGAGACGGCAGCAATATAAAAACCAGAACAGGACAATCTATTGACATGACAAATACATGATGGGGCAGACTCGATTTGTTTTGCCCTTACCTCATGATCAGATAATTAGAGTTCATTGCTGGGGTGATGGTGGAACAGGAGTTAAGTGCTTGCCCCGTAATCGGAAGGTTGCAGGTTCGAGCCCCGCTCAGTCTGTTGCTGTCGTTGTGTCCTTGGGCAAGACACTTAACCCACGTTGCCTGCTGGTGGTCGGAGGGACCGGTGGCACCAGTGCTCGGCAGCCTCGCCTCTGTCAGTGCGCCCCAGGGCAGCTGTGGCTACATTGTAGCTCATCCCCACCAGCTTGTGAATGTGTGTGTGAATGGGTGAATGACTGATTGTGTTGTAAAGCGCCTTGGGGGGTTTCAATGACTCTAGAAGGCGCTATATCAAATAAAAAGCCATTTACCATTTTAAAAAATCACTTAATAAAAAGATCAGATTGCATAAAATTTGTTAAAAACACGTGTCTTGTTGGTCTAGTTTAGTAACACAACTGAGAATTGATTTTGCGTTCTCAAATTACTAGAAAAAGTTGATGCGAACCATACCTCCCACCCCATCACGCATGGAAAACTTCTAAAGTTGGCAACATTGGTTCTGTTTTAAATTTTGTATGCATTTTGTGATTTTGTGGTTCTTGTTCAATAAATAAAAAAATTCCCCACTCAAAGGAAGAATGTGTGTGTGGATAAGATGGCTGCTTGTCTAAGGGTTGCAGATGAACAAGGAGACACGGCTTTGACCTTACATGCATTATATGCCATAAGGTTTTGACCTTATTGAATGCTTCTTTTTACCACCCAAGCTGCCTACATTCAACAACAAGGAAAATATTGGTTTAGATTCTACAACTCTTTTAATAACTGATTAATGCACTAAGCAATGTTATTAAAGAGGCCCTTATAAAGCAGGGCTATTCAGTTCTGGGCCTGGATGGCTGCATATTTCGGTTGTAACTCAGTGTCACATCCTGTCCTGTCTCCCTGTTTGGTTCAGCTTTGTGTCTCGTTAATTACTCCCACCTGCCTCGTGTTTTCCCAATCACCTTAGCTCCCGGTCCTCCTGTATTTAAACCCCTTCTGCTCTGTGTCTTGTGTCGGTTCATTGTTTCAGTTGTCTTGCATGTTCCTGAATAAAAGATTGTTTTACACGTTCCTACCTGTCTTCCTGTCTTCCTCCAGCGTCTGGATCCTCACCCCAGCTTCGCTCCACTCCGCAGCACGTTGTGACAGAATGAACCGACCCAATCCCGTTGATGGATCCAGCCAGGAGATTCTGCCTTGGGAGTGCCTGCTCCGGTTCCTCTCGTCTGATCACCGGCCGGCCTCCCCCCCTCCTACTTCGCCTCGCCGAAGACGCCATCACCGACCTTCGGCCGCGGCGTTCCTCCCTGTCCTCCCGGAACCGGAGGCATGTTTGGACCGGGAGCCGCTGCCAGATCGCTCCGGTTTCGTGGGCACGAGCCTGGCGGTCTGTTCCCCCAGAAATGGTCCACGACGTGGAGAAGAATGCCAAGCTCCGCCGCTGCCCCTGCCTGACATAGCGCCTTGGACCCGCCCCCGGCCAGGCCAGCAGTCCCGTCACCGGTCCCATCAGCGCCCCCGTCGTCTGCAGGTGGAGGAGCAGCACCCGCAGCCCAGCTGAGAGAGCTTCAGACGGAGCTTGGCGGGATCCGCCAGCTTGTCAGCCATCAGGAGTCTCACCTGGACACTCTTTCATCCTCGGACCGCCAGGAGAGGGCCTCCGTCCACCCGGCAGCTCCTTCATCTTGGAGCCAGAAGAGCGAGCCCGGGGTCCACCCAGCGGAGCTCTCCGGTCTCCGGGCTGAGCTGGCCCAGCTCCACCGGACCCTCAGCCTCCAGGAGCATCAGCTGGACGGTCTGTCCTCCCTGCTCTCTTCGTTTCCAGCACCACCAGTTCGCACACAGCCTGTTCCAGCAGTGGCCCCGGTGGACGCACCGCCTCCAGTTCCAGTGGTGGTCCCGGAGGTCGCACCGCATCCAGTCCAGCATGTCCAGGCAGCTCCTCCCACAGCGGCTCTGCCTCCGGCCCAGAGGCTGACGGAACCGGCCCAGAGGCTGACGAAACCGGCCCAGAAGCTGGCGGATTGGGCCCAGAAGCAGAAGGGGCCGGCCCAGAAGCAGACGGTACCGGATCCGGTCCAAAAGTCGGCGGTCCAGAAGTTGAGGGTCCGGCAGTCGAATGACCAGAAGCCGACTCCCCCGGACCAGAAGCAGACGATTCCGGTCCAGAGGCCGACGGTCCAAAAGTCGACGGTCCAAAAGTCGGCGGTCCAAAAGTCGACGGTCCAGAAGTCGACGGACCAGAAGCCGACACCCCTGGACCAGAGGCCGACTCCCCCGGGCCAGAAGCAGATGCCCCGGACCAGAAGCAGACGCCCCCGGGCCAGAAGCAGATGGTTCCGGTTCCGGTCCAGAGGCCGGCGGCCCAGAGGTCGACGGTACAGAAATCGAAGGACCAAAAGTTGACGCCCCCGGATAAGAAGCCGACGCCCCCGGACCAGAGGCCGACTCCCCCGGGCCAGAAGCAGACGCCCCCGGACCGAAAGCAGACGGTTTCGGTTCCGGTCCAGAGGCCGGCGGTCCAGAAATCGAAGGACCAGATGTCGACGCCCCCAGATCAGAAGCCGACGTCCCCGACCAGAAGTCGATGGTGGTCGACGCCCGGTCCTGTCGTGTGGTCGACACCCCCTTCCTGTTCTGAAGTCTACGCCCCTTCCTGTTCTGAAGTCGACGTCCCTTCCTGTTCTGAAGTCGACGCCCCTTCCTGTTCTGAAGTTGACGCCCCTTCCTGTTCTGCTGTCGACGCCCCTTCCAGTTCTGAAGTCGACGCCTCCACGTGTTCTGAAGTCGAAGCCTCCTCGTGCTCTGAAGTTGACGCCTCCTCGTGCTCTCAACTCGACGCCTCCTCGTGTTCTGAAGTCGACCCCTCCTCGTGTTCTGAAGTCGTCTCGTCTGAAGTCGTCTCGTCTGAAGTCGGCTCATCTGAGGTTGTCTCGTCTGAGGTCGTCTCGTCTGAGGTCACCTCTGAAGTCGTTGCCACTGAAGTCGCCGCCTCTGAAGTCGTCGTCTCTGAAGTCGTCACCTCTGAAGTCGTCGCCTCTGAAGTCGCCTCTGAAGTTGCTGCCTCTGAAGTGGCCGCCTCTGAAGTCCCCTCGGAAGTCGCCTCTAAAGTCACTTCTGAAGTCGTCTCTTAAGTCGTCTCTGAAGTCATCTCTGAAGTCGTCGCCTCTGAAGTCGTCTGGTCTGAAGTCACCTCTGAAGTCGCCTCGTCTGAAGTCGCCTTATCCAATCTAGAGGTCGACGCTCTCTCCACTCTAGAGGTCGACGCTCTCTCCACTCTAGAGGTCGACACTCTCTCCACTCTAGAGGTCGATGCTCGTTCCACTCTAGAGGTCGACGCTCTCTCCACTCCAGAGGTCGAATTCCCTCTGGTCTGACGTCTCCACCGTCTCCGGTTCCAATGGTGGTTCTGAAGGTCGCTCCGATCCAGCCTGTCGCAGAGACTATGTCCCTGGCCCAGCCTGCAGAGACTATGTCCCCGGCCCAGCCTGCAGAGCTCCTCTGCCGCAGGCGCCGGCCTCCAAGGGCCCGTCGCCTTCTCCTCTCCCGCAGGCGCCGGCCTCCAAGGGCCCGCCGCCTCCTCATCTGCCGCAGGCGCCGGCCTCCAAGGGCCCGCCGCCTCCTCTACTGCCGCAGGCGCCGGCCCCCAAGGGCCCGTCGTCTCCTCCTCTGTCCCAGACGCAGGCCCCCGGACTCTGCTGGTCCCTGCTGCCTCTCCATCTGTCCCTCGGTTCCTCTGGGCTCTCCCTCTGGGTCCCCCTCCTCCCGCCCTGCTCCTTGTTCCTGTGGGCGTCTGGGATCCGCCCTTTTGGGGGGGGGGGGGGGGGGGGTACTGTCACACCCTGTCCTGTCTCCCTGTTTGGTTCAGCTTTGTGTCTCGTTAATTACTCCCACCTGCCTCTTGTTTTCCCAATCACCTTAGCTCCCGGTCCTCCTGTATTTAAACCCCTTGTGTTTTGTGTCTTGTGTCGGTTCATTGTTTCAGTTGTCTAGCGTGCTCCTTAATAAAATATTGTTTTACACGTTCCTACCTGTCTGCCTGTCTTCCTCCCGCGTCTGGATCCTCACCCCAGCTTCGCTCCACTCCGCAGCACGTCGTGACACTCAGCTTTAACACAGGTGATTAACAGGCTACTGTAGAGCCTGTTGAGCTGCTAGGGGATTGATCCACTGAATCAAGTGTGTTTGACCAGAAAAACCATTAAAACATGCTAGATACCAGCCCTCAAGGCCCGGAATTGAATACCCCCATTATAAGGTGTTACCAATGTTTTTAAACAGAGCAAAATATTAATTGTTCATGATCTCATATCTAAGATGTGAATTTTTTTTTTTACCACAACTAAAAATAAATGTTTCTTTAAATGTGTTGTTTACTATCAACTCTACTGAAAAAGGCGTTGAAGTTTTTATAATGATCATAAAGTATTCTATATTTTAATATTACCCTTACCGGTACACTTTATGTGTTGTGTCTAGCTGCTTGTGCTTGACTATTTCATGAGGATTTTGTTGAAAAAAAACTTCGAAGTAAGCCAAACAATTTTTATTGAACTGTGTACATTTCAGGAGAAACGTTTTCAACTCAATCACATTTAACTGTACATACATTGGTGGAAGATGTATCCATAAAAATAAATAATATAAATAGCTGTAGCAATTGTATTTCCTACATTCTAGAGCACCCCAGTTAAGTATTAATCATTACGTGTTTCTTGGAATTCTTCTCAGGCTGAAATAAGATGATGAAACACTTTGGAGCAAATATACACAGAATCAGTCCAAAACTGGAGGCCAGAATAGCAAATATCTCCACAGCTACAGTAAATTTTCCAGGAGAGCTGACATATGCTGGGATGAAGGTGAGCCACACTGCACAGAATATCAGCATGCTGAAGGTTATCAGCTTGGCTTCATTAAAATTATCAGGTAGTTTCCGAGCTAGAACAGCTAACACAAAGCAGAAAACAGCCAGCAGGCCAATGTACCCGAGCACAGCCCAGAACCCAACAGCAGAACCTAATGCACATTCCAGGATGATCTTCTCCTTGTATGTGCTCAGATTCTTCACTGGGAATGGAGGGCTGAGTAACAACCAAATTGTACACATCAAAACTTGAATAAATGTGAGAAACACAACAGCCATTCTTTGCTGTGGAGGCCCAAACCATTTCATGACATTACTACCTGGAAGTGTGGCTTTAAAGGCCATTAAAACCACTACAGTTTTGCCAAGAACACAGGAGATACAGAGAACAAAGGTGATACCAAACGCTGTGTGTCGCAGCATGCAGGACCAATCAGAGGGAGCTCCGATGAAAGTTAATGAACATAAGAAACACAGAGTCAGAGAGAAGAGCAGCAGGAAGCTCAGCTCAGAGTTGTTGGCTCTGACAATTGGAGTTGTTCTGTGATGAAAGAAAATAGCTGCTGTTATGATGGCCAGACAGGCCCCACTAACAGAGAATGCAGCCAGGATGATTGCCAGGACTTCATCATAGGAAAGAAACTCCACAGGTTTGGGGAAACAAGCGTCTCTTTGTGCATTAGGCCACGATTCACTGGGACACGGGAAACAGTCTGGAGAATCTGCAAGATTTATCAAAACAAGTCATTAGCACTGGGAAATATATAAGAGTGCACAGAAAAAGGAAACATACCTGTCGTGTTACTAATCTCTCCTTCAGGACATGGTATACAATCGTAGCAGCAGATGGGTTTTCCTTTCTGCAGGACTTTACGAGTTCCTGGACGACAACTCTCAGAGCACACTGATACTGGGACCTGTTAAAAAGGGTCAAAATTACAGTATTGAAGGAGTAGGTTTAGATATGTATTAAACTAATTTGTGTTGTTCAAAAATTGTGATCATTAAGATTTTTACTTGCGTGCTACCCTTCAGCCATGATATGTTGTTGTTGACATGAAACTCCTGTCCTTTAGGCAGTGATGCATCATAGTACCCTACTGTTACCAGCTCAATAACTCCACTCTCTCTCTTCTGCCAGTTGACCAGCTCATAAAAAGCCAAAGAGTCCCCATTAGCATCAAATGATACAGAATAAGTGTTGCGGGAAAAGTTGACATTTTGCAGTTTTTCAAAAATCTGTCAAGTATTAAAGAACGGAGGGGGAAAATATAGAATGTTAAACTTGGGTTTACCAGACAGAAAAGTTAAGGACACCATTTGAATAGTTTTATTTGCACTCACCTGATTAGAATCTGATCTTAAATGTTTTTCACACTTAGTGGAGACAACTGCTTCCCAACACACAGCATTGTGAATAGCATGAGCTATAGCATAAACAGCCTTGTGCACCATGGCAGTAATTCTTAACTGAGTTGTATCTGTGTATGAGTTTTTTAACGTTTTTAAATCTTCAGTACCATCACACAATTGTTTGTCTGTTTTAGTTCCTATACCACAATAGAAATGAGAAACAAACTCCACTTGTTATAAAGTATTGGAACAATTATTGTGTTCAGTGGTTCTGTGTTTTTTTCCCCCCTTTTCACTGCAATAATATGTGGTACCTGTTCACAATGCATCAAAAGTCTTTTACAGTCTAAAGAAATTACAATTTTTGAAGAATTAAGATCAGTCAAGAAAATAAAATGAGCAAGTAAATCATTACTGCATGCATTAAGCTTATTTTAAACATTCTCACTTTTGTTCAAGCTGCAGTTGAATGCATCCTCCCAGAACTCAGTCAGCACTGAGGAGGAGGCTACTTCGGTGGGAGAAAGATCCAGTAGGAACTCTTTGAGACCTGGGATGATAGATTGCTGAATTGCAAACCCAATGGCTCCTTCACAGAAACTGTAGGTCATCAAGTATGGGTCAGCTACCCAGCGGTCACTCATTATCCACTGACGAGGTGGTGGAGGCTCCAGAGCCAGCTCATCTAAAAGCACGATCAAATCCCCAGAGTCAATAAATGTAACAACAATCAATGCTGTTGACCTGCAGAGACAACAAAATGTATTTTTATGACAAGAAATGTCTGTCACAGATGTATGTGTTCAATCTCAACTTGTGCTTAAACCTGCGGATGACATCAGCTACTCTCTGGATCTTGCTCTGTGAATCGGTTCGTAGGAAGGATTCAGAGTATTCCACACAGATTCCCACTTTCTGTGCTGCATTGAGAAAAGATGCCACACCATAATTCCCATAATCTGTATCCGAGCGTACAACACCTATCCAGGTCCATCCAAAGTGTTTCACCAGCTTGGCCAGTGCATCAGCCTGGAACTGGTCACTGGGAATTGTTCTGAAAAAAGTTGGGTACTGCTGCTTATCTGACAGACAGGCACACGTGGCAAAGTAACTGACCTACAAGAAAAAAAATATTTTGGTAGAAAAAAGAACTATTAACAAATCACCAAGTATACTTTTGTAATTTATCTAATGAAAATTCAGAACTGCTACCAGCGGGATGTTAAATGACCCGATGATGCGAGACATGCTGATGGATGGAGTAGATCCAGAGTCTCCAACAACAGCCACCACCCCACCAGACTGTGAACAACTGCTGTCCTTGTCAATCGCAGAGTCCCAACCATTTAACAGCTGGAATGCAGAGTGGACTGCAACTGGTACCGAGGCGCAGGAGTCATATATCTGATATCCAAGTTTGATACCTGGCAGCAGCTCTGTGCTGTTGTTTATCTCATTGATGGCAAAGATCATTGTTCGAGAAAAGCGCAGTTGTCTGGAAATAAGGCTGCAGAAAATCTGAATGGTTAGTGCAGAAATTTACGTAATAAAGGATGGAAAAATAGGAGAAGGCAGGCAAATTACCAACATAACAACCACAAAGCTAAATAAATAAGTGATGTAGCATTCTGTGAGTATAACAAGAATACATCAAAGTTCAATTAAAATGTAGTTAAAATAAAGTAGATGAGGAGATCACACAACTGTCATAGAAATCTGACTTTTCTTCAGCCACTTCATCCTCTCACTAACCTCCCTGTGCATCTTAGAGACTCGGGCTTGGTGCTGTAGTCATTAACCACTGTGTGCAGTTTGTAGTGTAAAAAGAAAACACCTCCAATAACAAAGTCTCCATCCGCTGCGAATGCAGGTAAAAGAGGGCTATTCTGCAGGATGCACTTGTTTGAAGAAGCCTCGATACTGACACCGGCAGCAGTTTGATTCTCTGAAGGTTCAATCTTTTGTTTTGTATCATTCAGAGACACAGCAAATACAACAGATGTCAGCTCCAGCAAGTGAAGGCCAATAAAGACAAGTCTGGTCTCCATTCTACACCTGACTGTATTACAGCTGAAGTGTGCTCTTATTGTTTGATCTGCACCTTCGATTATATGTCGTCATGTTTATCTGAACCAAGATGCTCCCACCCACCCATCTGTGCTTGTATCTTTTAATGACTTCTGTGGATTTCAGTTGTCCGTTTTTTTAATAGTTTAATTACTAAGATGAAATTGAGTGTATGAGTAATTGATTTGAACGTTTGTTTTAAATTGATATTTTTGGTCTGTATTTTGGTTAAATGCAATTTTCAGTACTGAATTTTGAAATAATCCATAAAGAGGTCCTTCACTCATTATTTGAATACATTTGCAGTGGTCTTTAGTAGAAATAAATACATTTTATTCTTTACTGTGGATCTAGATACAGGATCTAGAGTCTTATCTCCTGATATCTGAACGTCTTACCTCTTCTAAAAGGCCTCATATTTGTTCAGTATATGAAACAGACAGAAATAATTCAAGTAATCTATATGAAAATACAACTAATTTAATAAATGTATATATAGTCAAGGAAGAGACCCCTGCTTATTTTGTCAACTTCCAAAATAACAATGTTTGCCACCAATATTTTTCAACAACTGGACATCTTTTTTTTCATTTTCAACAACATTTAGACCAGGGGTGTCAAACATGCGGCCCGCGGGCCGGATCCGGCCCACAAGCGGGTTAAATCCGGCCAGCGAGATGGTTGTCTAAACTTTATTTTCATACTTTACAATGTAGAGTGAAAATAAACTTATCTTTGTGAGCAAGTTTTCTCTGTAATGAGTATAAATAAAACAAAGCTGCGCTCAAGGCTCACACAAGAACTTGAATCACATCCTGAAGATGGCCGCCACTCAGGATGTGACTGGAGAAAGCTAAAAGATGTTAAGTAAAATGAGTCAAATATACTTTAAGTGCTGCATGAAACTGATCTAGCCATGTGATCTGTAAGCTCTTTGAATCACTGAGGAATGTTTTTTTTATTGATTGATTTTTTATTTTTTCAAATTTTCAAGTACACTTCAGGTGTTGTACTTGTACTACACTGTCCTTAGGCTCCAGTCTTGTTTTATATTGATTGTATTAAAACAAAGAAAACACTCTGAAGTTTTTTTTTTTTATTTACCCGTCCGGCCCACTTGGGACTAGATTTCCCTCATTGTGGCCCCTGAGCTAAAATGAGGTTGACACCCCTGATTTAGATGAATTGTTCCTGAGATTAAAGGTGAAAATACACAATTGTCACTTTAATGTATTTTAACTTCTAAAAAGTCATGCCAAAATATACAATTTCAAATCAAATCAAATCAAAGATACTTTAATCCCAGAGGGAAATTAGAGTTTCAGTACACACAATTCAGAGATCAGACATACATGGGCAAGACACTTGACAATAATTGGTGACTGTGGTCATTCGCAACCCTGAGTCGCGCTACCTTAATAGAGATGAAAGGGTTACATGAGGATTGGTTCAGGTGGAGGGAAGAAAAGGCACTTCAGAGTTACCCTCCCACCAGGAGGGCAGCTTTGCTCTGCAAAAAAACACCTCAGACAGATATGCAACAGACTTCAGACAACACAACATAAGTGTCCACTAGGAGGGGTGGTGGGTTGGGACTATCCCAACTTCAGTTCCTGCAGCCACGATGAAGCAGCGCATGTCACCTCAGTGTGGATAGGGGAGGAGCATTGAGGGTTGGAGGGTTGCAGTGACCCTGGACGCTTCAGCGGCCTTCCCGCAGTCCCGCCCAAGCTGGGAAAGGAGACAGAGTTGAGTTGCCATAGCGACGGCACATTCCACATATCTTCTGAGGGGGGAGTTTTCATTGGAGCCTTTCAGGCTCAAGGGCGCCAGATTCCGATTAGAATTCACAGAATGACTTCTGTGAATTTCAGTTGTTGTTGTTGTTGTTGTTTTTGTCTTATGACTGTTTTAGAAAGTGAAACCATGTACTTTTTACCTCCTTCTTTCTACATTTCTGTACAAAAGCTACAAGTCTCACCTAAATTTAATTTCAGGATTATTATTTCCATCAGAAATAAGTTTACACATTTTTTTCACAATAAATGGCTTCAGAACATCTCTAACCATAAGTGGGAAAAATGTTTTTGTATTTTCATTCATATTGTTTAAGAAATGACAAAAAGAATATTTAAAAAAAACAGCAGGGAAAATAAGTATTTAACACATCAGTATTTTTTTCAGTAAGGACATTTTTAAGTCAGTTATTGAGACAAAATTTGCACCAGATGTTGCCATCAAGCCAAATATTGAATTCTCACAAAGAGTGGTTAATGACTACAGCACCAAATCCTCTCAGTGGCCTAATAGTAGTCTGCCGGGGTCATCAGATATTCAGGATTGGGTTTGTGTCGTCTGACACCTGCCCACGCTGCACAAACAACATTCCTGATAATTACATCCAGTGGTGGTTTTACCATTAGGCATAGGTCGCCTGAGGCCCCCTTGTGTTGGGGGGCCCCCTAGCCCTGATCGCCGGCACCCCTCTGTTAATGCCACAATATTCTTATTACCAACCTGTCACTGCAGACGGGATTGGACATGCGCACTTCTCATTAACATAATTCCTGAACCATTCAAGATATCATTAAAATTCCAAAAGTGCTGAAAAGATTAAAAATGGGGCTTTTCGTTCATATAAAATACATCAGGGTAGCCCCCGAGATTTTCTGTCTTGAGCGCAACGAATCACAACACACATTCAGAGAAGTGCTTAGTTTGTCATCCAAAATGCTCTGTTTTATAACTTTTGAATGGCTAATCAGATTCAAATAACTCGAACGGTTCCTAAAAGTACATAAAAGCAGCTTTCCAACGATATATAGCATGAAGCAATCAGAGTTATGGAAAATATCGCTATGAGCAGTGGCGGCTGGCCAGTAGAGGGCGATAGGGCGCTGCCCTCCCAGTTTTCCCCAGTGTTTTAAATTTTTATTTAAAAAAATAAATAAATAAAATTAACAATAATCACATATTCTAAGTTAATTGTGTGTTTTGTAACAAAAATAAATCATATATATATATATATATATATATATATATATATATATATATATATATATATATACATATATATATATTGGTCTCTGCCGGTCTCTGCCGAGCATTGGAGGCTGTTTTTGAAGCGCCCAAACAGGACGGGACCAGCCGTCCAATTGCTGACAAGAAAATCAAAGGGTAGGAATGGGAATGTATCCAGTCAGCGTCGACGTTGTTTCAGAAGCATGATGGGCGATAGAGCTACCGCCAAAGGTTTCGTTGGTGTTCGGTAGAACTCGGCAGAATCGTTTTTGGTCGTGACGCAAATGTAACATGAACGCCGCCAGTGACTACAACCAGCATGGATACCGGATCTCAGCAGCCACTGAATTCAGTTCGGTCTCTTCTCCAGTATCCGTTCGAGAGGAGAACTATGGTGGAAAAACTTAATGTCAAAGAGCTTGGACCAGATCAGCCCGACGTAAAGATAAGCCAGCAGGAGAAGGAGAGAGGTAAACTGTACACACGAGGCTTCTCCCGAAATTGGTACACCAGGAAGGCTAGGCTAGCTGGATGCAATCACGCTAATGCGTTATTTTGCTTTCCGTGTTTGTTATTCAAAACGGCTGGGACAGATAAGGCATGGATTGAGTCAGGAGTCACAGACAAGAAACATTTTTCTGAGAAGGTGAAGAAACACGAGTCATCCCGGTCACACATGGAGAACAACACGGTGAAGCTAGCCACCCTAGGCAGAGCTATCATTGCCATGCAGCTCGACGAGGGAAACGGAGGACGTTTGGACAGCAGCTGGGTGCAGAGGTAAGCTGTACATTATATTTCTGTGAACAACACAATCAGAATCAGAAATCTTTGGTTGTCCCACAAACCGGGACATTTGTTAAATAACATGTTTAATGTGCAATAACTGTAAAAACTAATTTCAACACACATACTTATTATACATATTTAATCACGTAAATGTGTATTTCATGTAAATTTGTACATACATCAATCTGATTCCATTTTACTTGTTACACTTCTGCTGCAGCAAACAAATTCCCCAGCTTTTGGGACAATAAAACATTTCTGATTCTCAATTAGATGTTTTTACCTCAAATGTATAAACATCTGATTGAGAATCAGAAATGTTTTATTGTCCCAAAAACTGGGAAATATGACATTTGTAAGAGGATACTGATGACATTATTTCCTATGAAAGTGTTTCCTATGTACTTATCTGTTGTTTTTTTATTTATCTACTTTAAAGAGGGTTAAGACTTTCCTTGAGGAACACCATGACACAGGATGGGCTGAATGCTCTTGCCATGCTCTCCATGGAAAAAAAGCTTGTCACAAACATTCCTGACTTCAATAAAAAGCTAATCGAGAGCTTTGCCACTCAGAAGGGCAAAATTTCTGTACAAATGAGGTATCACACAAACACAAATGCATCCACTTGATCTTTGTATAAAGTTGACCTTAGCACAACACTCCAGAAATATGTAACAGTGTAAATTTCTGGCATTTTGTCTAAGTAGTGTTTACTACCATTACTGTAACAGTGGCCTGCTTATAATTTTTCGTGTTCACTCAAATGTTGAAATTAAACAAAATGTTTTTGTTACTTGCCTCTTGCATTGCCTATTTACCATTTATGGTCACGTTATTTTATGTGCAATTTAATGCAGTATTTTTCAACCTTGGTCTGCAAGGCAGCGTGCCAATAGTCAGACACACCTGGATTAATCAGTTTGTCCAATGATGTAAGACAGGAAATAAAAGAGCTGTGCTTAATTCAGGAAATAGTGAAGTTGTGCACAAAGCTCAGAAAGCACAAGTTTGTTTAAAAATAAAAAATAGCACAGCCCCACCAAAAATATTTTTCACCAGCCGCCACTGGCTATGAGGGGACATCCTGCTGTACAGCCTGACTGAAACGGAGTGCAGCGCCTTGGTGAAAGCGGATAACGGAACGGGGAAGCTAATTAGCATAAAAAGCCGGCATGAAATTATGGAAATGCCTCAAAGAAAATCAACACAATCTATTAGGTGTCCCAGAAGGCTTATATCTGAAGACAGTGACCACGAAGAAGGAC